CGAGACATCATCTTTTTTTTAAAGATTTTATTTATTTAAAGATTTTATTTATTTATTCATGAGACACACACACACACACACCACACCACAGAGGCAGAGACACAGGCAGAGGGAGAAGCAGGCTCCATGCAGGTAGCCCAATGTGGGACTCGATCCTGGGACTCCAGGATCATGCCCTGGGCTGAAGGCAGACGCTCAACCACTGAGCTACCCAGGCATCCCAAGATTTTATTTATTCATGAGAAACACACACACACACAGAGGCAGAGACAGGTAGAGGGATAAGCAGGCTCCCCGTTGGGAGCCCAATGTGGGACTCGATCCCAGGACCTGGGCCAAAGGCAGACACTCAACCACTGAGCCACCCAGGTGCCCCTAGACATCATCCTGACAGCAAACCTCATGAGAAACTCTCAGTCATAATCACCCAACCAAGATGCTTCCAGATCCATGAACATAGAAACCATGTGGGATAATAAATGTTTGTTGATTTAAGGCACTAAGTATTGTGGGTAATTTGTAACACAGCAATAGGTAACTAATATATACCTTTCAATAGAAGATTTTCCTGCAGGGGCACCTGGGTGGCTCAGTGGTTGAGCGTCTGCTTTTGGCTCAGGGCATGATCCTAGGGTCCTGGGATCAAGTCCTACATCGGGCTCCCTGCAGGGAGCCTGCTTCTCCCTCTGCCTCTCTGTGTCTCTCATGAATAAATAAATAAAATTTATTTTTATTTTTAAAAAAGATTTTATTTATTTATGAGAGAGAGAGAGAGAGAGAGAGAGAGAGAGAGAGACAGGCAGAGGGAGAAGCAGGCTCCATGCAGGGAGCCTGATGTGGGACTTGATCCTGGGTCTCCAGCATCACACCCTGGGCCGAAGGCAGGTGCTAAACTGCTGAGCCACCCAGGGATCCCAAAATTTATTTTTAAAAAAAGATTTTCTTGCTTCACCCAGAAGATAGGCAGATCCTTACCTACCATTTTCTTAGGCTACCTGTTTCAGGTAAATCTTTCATGGAAGTGCTGAGGTTCCTAAAGGTCAGAGAGCAAGTACTGGCTGTTTTGGTCTCTAATTGCTAACAACTGTATGTGTCATAGAATTTAATATGACCTTCATTGTAATATTATACTGTAGTAAGGAGGTTGTAGGAGAGGTGATCTATAGCCCTCACCTACCTCAAATCTTCTGGGGCTACCTAAATCTACCTGAAACCATAGGTTTAGGTCCATTTGCAAGACATTTGCAAAAGCCTGATTGGCCCTAGATAATTTGACTTTTATTTACCTCTCTGACCTCAACTCCTATTGCCTATTCCCATTTTTTCTCAGTACCACTGGCTGCTGTATTAGTTTGCTAGGGCTGCCATGACCAAGTGCAATGAGTGGCTTAGCCAACAGAAATTTGTTATCTTGCACTTCTATAGGCCACAAGTTTGAGGTCAAGATGTTGGCAGTTTGTTCCTTCTGAGAGCTGTGGGAAAAAAAATCTGTTCCATGCTGTCGCCCTAGCCTCTGGTGGTTTTGGAGGGGGTGCAATCTTGGGTATTCCTTGGCTTATAGATGCATTGCCCTGATCTTTGCCTTCATCTGTATATAGTGTTCCCTGTGTGTGCATGTCTGTGTTTAAATTTCCCCCTCTTTATAAAGGATGACCGTCACAGTGGATTAAAAGCCCACTCTACTCCAGTAGGATGTCATCTTTACTACATTAAGGTCACATTCTGGGGTGCTGAGGGTTATGCTGTCAACATATGAAAAATTTTTAAAGATTTTATTCATTTATTTTCTATTTTTAAATTTTTATTTAAATCCAATTTGCCAACATATAGTAAAACACCCAGTGCTCGTTCCATCAAGTGCCCTCCTTAGTGCCCATCACCCAGTCACCCCATACCCCCGCCTTCCACAACCCTTTGTTTATTTCCCAGAGTTAGGAGTCTCTCATGATTTGTCTTCCTCTCTAATTTTTCCCCACTCAGTTTCCCTCCTTACCCTTTATTTATTTATTCATGAGAGACAGAGAGAGGCAGAGACATAGACAGAGGGAGAAGCAGGCTCCCTGCAGGGAGACCGAGGTGGGACTCCATCCTGGAACTCCGGGATCACGCCCTGAGCCAAAGGCAGACGCTTAAGCACTGAGCCACCCAGGCACCCCAATCTATGAATTTTCGAGACACAATTCAACTCATAATGTTGGCTTTCTTTCTGTTTGTCTAGCATATCAAGCTCATTTCCACTTTGGGTACTTTATACATATTAGTCCTTCTTTTAAAGATATTTATTTATTTATTTATTTGAGAGAGAGAGAGAGAGAGAGAGAGAGAGAGAGAGAGAGAATGAAGAATGAGCAGGGGTGAGGGGCAGAGGGAGAGGGAAAAGCAGACTTCCCATGGAGCAGGGAGCCTGATTCTGGACTTGGTCCCAGGACCCTGGGATCTCAACCTGAGCCGAAGGCAGACGCTTAATCGACTAAGCCACCCAGGTGTCCCCATATTAGTCCTTCTGTCTAGAACCCCAAAGAAGCATGACTGTTCCCTTCTCAGCATATAAGTGTCATCTCATACGTCATCCCTTCAAAAAGAGTGATCCCTGATAACTCTAAAATAGCCCCTCCACAACACACACACATTATTCCCTATTCTCTTACCTGTTTCAATTTTTGTCTTAGCACCCACCCATCACTACATGAAATATATTTATTTTTACTTTTTTTTAAATCTGTCCCTCCCACCAGAATATAAATTCCATGAGGACAAGGAACTTATTCATCTTATTTACTGCTATGTCATCAACACCTAACAGTATCTGGTTCGAGAGTATTTAATAAATGTTCATTGAAGGAACATTGAATGAGCCTTCCCCACTTTTCTCACTTTGAGATTCTCTGATTTAGTCTCTGGAAAGCCTGATAGAATCAAGTTTTCCCTAAGAAAATGGAACTTATCCCAAAATAATTCCCAAGATATTCACACACTACTCCCACTTTGAAATGAACTATTTTTTTGTAAGAGATCAATTATAAAACAATAAAACAATATTACTCCTCTCAGAGTTCCTTGTTTTTCCTCTGCTTGTACTACCAGGAAACAACCTGAGGGCAGCAAAAATTCAGAGTGGAGAAAGGTCAGTTCCAAGGCAGAGATCATTTCCAGTCTTTCCTCAAAGATTGTCCACTTCTTGCTCTCTCTCCAGCCTGGCTAGTTCTTTTCAGGTCCACTAGGCACACATTTATGGGCATGGCTGGGGATCTGTTTCATTGGATCAACTTGCTCAGAAAAGTCTGTGAGCACTAGCAGGGCACCTAGAGAGGGATAAACAGACTCCCTGCTCAGCAGGGAACCCAATGCTGGACTCAATCCCAAGAATCTATGATCATGAACTGAGCTGAAGGCAGATGCTTAACCGACTGAGCCACCCAGGTGCCCCTAAGCTGACTTTTAATTGAGATACCTAAATGTAAGAGTCTTAAGTCAAAGCAATGGCTAGATTTTGTTCCTCAAAGCTTTTTAAAAAGAATTGTACATTTTGAGTTCCTACCTGCGAAAGGTGAAGCCAGTGACCTCCCACCTGCCTCCCAGATCTGGGCTATATGACCTATGACAGGTGCTAGGATAAAGTGAGACTCAAACAAAGTCTCTTGGGGGTTTTTGACTATTGTTTGTTTTCATATTTCCTTAACAGTCAAAAGAGGACTCTAACCGGAATCTTTGATGTTTATTCACCTAAACTTATACTTTTCCTGTAGTAAAAAAGGGAGGTTGTTTGCAGTTTGTGACCTGGGAATACTCAAGCCAAGAGGGGAAGGAGGTTTAGTTTCTAAACTATGTCTTAAAAGACAAATTTCGTTAAATAAAGGGAGAAGGAATTTAATTAAACCATTTTGCGAGATCAATTCCTAGCTTTTTTCCATTTAATTTTTTTCCAAACCTGCTTAAGTCAGCGGTTGTTTGAGCCCTTGTGTATTGTAGACCCCTTAAAGCAGTACTTCTCAAATTTAATGTGCACACGAATCACCTGGTGATTCCGTTAAAACGAAAATTCTGATTCAGTAGGTCTGGAGAGGGCATTATAAAGTGGGTCTTCAAGCTTCCCCTGTTAGGCACACACTTATGCTTCAACCCATCTCCAAACACCCAAGGCACTCGTCATCTAAAGTTCTCCGCTACAGTACCCCATTTTAACTACCCCTTCTTGCCAGAAGCCACAGTTACAGATCCTTCTGTTTTTACCTTGCCTTCAAATTTACCTGTCTTAGCTCCCTCTCTCTCTGGATCCTGACCTCTGTGAAATTATAACGAATAGCAGGTGATAGTGAATTGATTTGTTACTTTTTTCTCTCTCTCTCTGGAGCAAAAGACCAACCTCATCCACTCCTCTACCAGCACAAGGTAACAATGGAGTTTAACCAATGATGAGAGTTTCCTGCCCTATCACAGACTAATTGAAATGATTTTTTTTTTTAGCGGGGTGGGTGGAGCAGTATAATTTTTAATTTCTCCAACAATTATACACCAAAGGAGACTGCCTACCTGACCTACTTATACTTTCTGCTCTACCTTTCATCTGCTCTGGTCTCATTAAAAACCATATTGTCTTATTTTAGAAGTGGAACCATGAAACTGTCAAATGACCAGCTATTTCACATTTATGTCCAAAGAGTTGCGATTCCAAAGCAAGATAAGCAACAGAGATCTAGGTGAAGGTTTCCCTGCACATGAGAGTACATTGCTTGGTATTTACTAAAGCTTAAAGAATTCTGATATTGAGGATGCCTGGGTTGCTCAGTGGTTGAGCATCTGCCTTTGGCTCAGGTCATGATCCCAGGCTCCTGGGATTGGGTCCTGCATCAAGCTCTCTGCAGGAAGCCTGCTTCTCTCTCTGCCTATGTCTCTGTCTCTCATGAATAAATAAATAAAATCTTTGAAAAAAGGAATCCTAAAAAAAAAAAAGGAATCCTGATATTGGTGGCGTGGGGACTGTAGTGGGGATGTGGGCTGACATGTCTGCTCTGACGGTGCTGGCATCTTTCATTCACATTGGAGGCCATTTCTTCAGAGGTAGCTCCCTGGCAGCTGGAGGCGATAGAGTCAGTCATGCTGGTGGTGGTGTGCATATTGAGCCGTGGTATACACAGTTTCCCCAGTTGACCAGGTCCCAGGTGACCCTGGCTGAGTTCTTCACTGCAACCATGTGGTTCTGGATTCCCTGGTATTTTTGGCATGACTTAGATGCTGCTCTGGGTCACCTTCCATACCCAGATCCTTCCCAGTGGACAGGTGAAGAACTAGATATCCTTTCTGATGACTGAAGACTTGAAAGTGTAGATAGAACTCTTTAGAAGAGTCAGGTGAGATTTTCAAGCAATTACGGACTTTATATCATACATGAAAATCTAACAAAGTGTTTTGGTCAACAGTGAGGGGGAAGAAAAAGAATCCTGGTACTGTTTGACCAGTATTTCAATCTTTGCTATCTTCATTTTGGTAGAATTGAAACTAGTTAAAACTAGTTAGTTAGTCCTTCAACGCACAGCACAAAATATTTTATATGGCTTATTCTAATGCTCATTTCTAGGAACAAAAATGGGCCCCTTGAGAGAGAAATTCACATACTAGAGATGTAAATGATTGTCTGCTCTACTTATGCCATACCTGTACTTTAGTCTTTTCATGTCCTTCTCCTGCTTCAGTGGCCAGCTCCTGCACTAATAGTCACATTAACTGATTGGATGGTAACATAACCCAAGGATAGGCAATCCCATCCAATAGAACAGCCAGCGACCACACACATCTGGCATGTAGCATAAGAAAGGCTCAGGCAATCAAATTCTATTCTCAGGTACATTGGTGAGAGAACAGAGACTGTATAGAGATGAGAGGGAAAGTAATCCATAGAAATAACAGAGAAAATACACCTGAAAATAGGCCCTCTTTATTTTTTACGGTACTTTGAGTCGGTTTCTGTTCTTTGAATCACAAAGGTAAGGAAATAAGCAGTAATGAAGGAAAAAAAACTGGAGCTTAGAGGGATAAATGAATAGGAGGCTATGAAGTCAGTGGTTTCCACATAAATAGAACATTAAAGCCACTCCTTCTATCCCTTCCACTACACTGTGATCTCCTTGAAGGAAAGGACTATGTCTCATTCATCTCTGACTTTCTCACACCTTGTATATAACAAGTGTTCAATAAATATCAAATATAAAATTCCATTTTCTATGATGAATGAAAGTCCCCAAGATCAGTAGCATAGTTTAGTTGATCCCAATCTTTTCATCACCTAGGACTTCTTACCTTATATTTCTTTCTATAGACTTTATAGTTTGAAAAATATTGTCTAACTTGAATTAAATAATAATGATTTTTAAAAAAGACTTATTTGTTTATTTTGGAGACAGAAAGAGAGTGAATACACGCACACAGAGGGAAGGGACAGAGGGAGAGGGAATGAGAGAATCTCAAGCAGACTCCCTGCTGAGCCCAGAGCCCCAACACTGGGCTTGATCTCATGACCCTAAGATCATGACCTGAACTGAAATTAAGAGTCAGAGGCTTAATCAGCTGAACCACTCAGGCGCCCCAATAAAGATTTTTTATAAGGTGGCCACAAACTTCATTAACTTTCAAGTCATAACATCCAAATAATGTCCAGATTAGATACTAGAATTTTTAAAAATTGAGCTAGGTTCTTGGATACAAAATAAATATATCAGTTGAATCGTATATAGATGAAACAATAGATAAAAGTGATATCTAAATTATCATCCAAATTGTCAGGCAATAATAAATATAAATTATTAGGAATAAATATAGAGAAAAATATGCAAGACTTCTATGATTAAGTAGTAATACTTTGTAGAGAGCCATTTAAAAATACCAAAATGCTGTATCCCAGCCCTAGGGTTTAAGTTTGCTCAGTTCACATTCCCTCCCAGAACAGATGTGTAAGCTCACCTTCACTACCCTAATATAGATATCTAAGGCTTATAGGTGTCAAGAACTGAAGGATCCATGGAGCACTTGGGTGGCTCAGTTGGTTAAGTGTCTGCCTTTGGCTCAGGTCATGATCTCGGGGTCCTGGGATTGAGCCCCACATCTGGCTCCCTGCTCAGTGGGGAGTCTGCTTCTCCCTCTGCCTCTGCCCCCAACTTGTGCTCACTCATGTAAACTCTCTCAAATAAATAAATCTTTAAAAAAAAAGAACTGAAGGCTCCAGGATTTTACCTTACTTACAGGCTAATAAGTGAGACCATATGTGTCATGGATGCTGGCAAAGACCCGAGACTACTGGGTCAGAGACATTGGACTTTATTACTTATGGCACAGCAAGTAGCATGAGCTTCATGTTGTTTTGTGTGGGTTCCCCATTCCTCTCAAGTCCCACAGGGAGGTGTAGACAGGCTAGGGTCAGACCAGGCAGATGCTGTGCATGGAATAGGCTTGCTTTGTGGCCAAGGAACACTCAGCTTGATGGATTCACTGATTTATAGCAAGCAGAAGAAAGCCTACTTTTTGTCTCTGGGTAAGTATTACCTCCTCTCTCACGGCTGCAAATATAAGTAACTCTGAGACATGCCTTGTGGAAAGAGCAGGTTGGAACCTTCCATCTTTGGCATATCCAGCAAGATTTGTAGGAGTGGAAGAGATTCTTGGAAGAGTAGCACCAACAAGTGGTGTTTGTGAGTACTGTGGGGAGATATCTGCATGGAACAGGTGGTTGGTGACAGGGAAAAAACCTTTTTTTAAAAAATTGAGGTATAATTGACATATATTAGTTTCAGGTATACACATAATGATTTGATACTTGTATATATTGTGAAATGATGGTAGATGCTGGTAATGGTTGTACAATGTTGTGAATGTACTAAATGCCACTAAGTTGTACATTTTAAATGGTGAATTTTTTGTTATGAGTATTTTACTGCAATTAAAAAAAAATCTGAGGTCCAGGCATTGGCTCCCTCCCACAGGATGGTCGGCTGGTAAAGCATTGGGCAGAAAGGTATCATGTTCCTGCTCATGTGCAGACCATGGAAGACCAATGGGCACAGTTTTGGGTTCAGGTTTTACCTTTTGGTGTGGCTATTCTCTTAGTGCACTTGATTAGCTATAGGTGTGAGGAAGGCTTTCTAGGATTGAGCTCCAGAGCCCCTGGGCCACTTGCCCTAACATATCCAGCAATTCTCTTCCTTGTCTCCACTTATCCCCGCCCCCAACCCATGTTGCAAATCCACCCTGGGTTTCAAGATACCTCCTCTCTATCCAAAACCCAGTTCTATTTTCTTCACCAAGAGACTTTGTTAACCCATGGTGAAGAGCCTGAAACCAGACTCCTAACTTTTAACAATCAAAAACCCTTTTCCTGACAGTAAGAAAAGCTCAGTTTTCAAAATTTAGATAATCTCATCCCGTGCTCTCTGGAAGGGAGTGCAAATATTTGCATCCTTTTTTGGGAGTATTCCCTTACCCCTAGAATGAGCTAAATGTTTCTAATAGAATAGAGGAAAATGTTTTTTTTAAACAGTTACCTTTCCTTTTTTTTAAAAAATATACTCTTTATTTATTTATGATAGTCACAGAGAGAGAGAGGCAGAGACACAGGCAGAGGGGGAAGCAGGCTCCATGCACCGGGAGCTGGATGTGGGATTCTATCCTGGGTCTCCAGGATCGCGCCCTGGGCCAAAGGCAGGCGCCAAACCACTGCGCCACCCAGGAATCCCTAAACAGTTACCTTTCCTTATTAAAATGACCAATCATTTATATCCTGCTTTACTTGCAACCAAAATAGTTGTAACTCATTTTCGCCATAGCACATGTTATGTTAATAATAGGAACTATAGACTCTCGACCTTTAGCTTTGAAAACTTGAGGCTTGGGAAGCCTGGGTGGTTCAGTGGTTGAATGTCTGCCTTTGGCTCTGGTTGTGATCACAGGGTCCTAGGATCAAGTCTGTATCAGGCTCCCTGCAGGGAGCCTGCCTCTCCCTCTGCTTATGTCTCTGTCTTTCTCTCTGTGGCTCTCATGAATAAATAAACAAAATCTTTAGAAAAAAAACAAACTTGAGGCTTTATCTTCTTTCTTGGGCTGAGTAGGAAGTTCAGAGCCAGTGAATACAGTCATAGAAAACTCATTTCCTGCCATCTGTATTAGTTTCCTACTACTGCTGTAACAAATTACTACAAACTTGGTGGCTTACCCTTGTGGATGTTAGAAATCTGCAGTGGGTCTCACTATGCTAAAATCAAGGTATTGCCAGGGTTACATTCCTTTTGGTAGGTTCTGGGGGAGAACCCATTTCCTTGCCTTTTCCAGTTTCTAGAGCCTGCCTATATTCCTTGGCTCTTGGCTTCTTTCCACCATCTTCAAAGCCAGCAAGAGGATCATGTTCTCACATTATATCACTCTGACCTATCTTTCTGCCTCCTTCCATTTTTAAGGGTCCTTGTGATTACATCAGACTGATCTGCATAATCCAGTATCCCTGTTTTGAAGTCAGCTGATTATCACCCTTAATTCCACTGGCACCCTTAGTTCCCCTTTACTATATAAAGTGACATATTCACAGGTTCCAGGGATCAGGATGTGGACATCTTTGAGGGAGGCCCATTATACTGCCTACCATGCCATCACTTGACAAATAGTTTTTGAATAACTACTATATGAATAGAAAGCTTTCTGCTCTCCCTTAGGGAGCCATCTGGATGAGATAGGACTTATTCAGAGAAAGGTAAATAACCATAGAAGGTTCACAGGCTGCAGGAGCGGTAAGAAGAAAAGAGGAACTCCTATGAAAATTAGAAGAGGGTGTGGTGTGATTGATGAGTTAAGAGAAGGCTTCCTGGAAGAGGCAGAACTTGCTCAGTCTCAAAGAAAGTTTGAATATTGTTCCAATGATATCAAAATGTTGAGTTCAGTGTGTTGAACAAGTCTTACGTACTGTTTAAACAAGGAAGCCATTAGACTGAGGTGGCTATCATGCTTTGGTGGCCTATGTAAGTAAACAAACTAAAACCTCTGCCTGTAAATGCTTCAAGGTTAAGAAAAGAAACCTAAGGAAAACCAATCAAAAACAGCCAACTAGGCTTGCTTTGTTTGTTTGTTTATTTATTTATTTAAATTCAATCTGCCAACATATGGTATAACACCCATTGCTCATCCCATCAAGTGCCCTCCTTGGCTTTAAGCTATAGTCAATCAAATAATTTCCTTTCTTTGCTTCTGTACCTTTTCTAGGAGAGTTCTTCCCCTAGCTCCAGCCAGGGGATTGCTCCTAACCACTTCCGGTTTGGTGTTGCCCCAGTTAGAATTGATCTTTGTTCACATAAACTGCCAGTATTTTTAATATGCCTCAGTTTATCTCTTAGCAATACACAGTTTTGAGTGCAGCTTTCCAAAGTAATAGTTGTAAAGTGAAAGTACTCCCTGCTATTTAATGTGATGTCACTATAACACTTATCAGCTTAAAAAGCACTGTCATAAGCTCTTTGGTGCTCACCACAGCCCCATGATGGAATGTAGGGAGGGCAGGGAACCACATGAACCTTGCCATCATTAAGTCCCCAGGCCCCTTTCCAGGTCCAGTTCTGATCCCTATGTTCCTTTTTCCTAGCAGCCACAGGGACACCCCTGTTTTCTCTCCTTTTGGTAGCTGTCTCTCTAAGCCTAAATGCAGAATGAGACACAGTCTCTCTACCTCCCCCACTTACTTGCTGCCATTGAAGCCAAGCATACAGGCTCATTTAATTTTAAGGTTTATCTGCTGACTACTCTGGAGAAACAGGGGATAAAGCAAATAGACATAAGGGAGTGGCAAATGTTCCATAATCTTACAAAGTTGATATAATGTTGGCTTCTAATTAATAATTTCTGCTTTCTTTTTCAAAGGTAAAAGAAAGTACCATTGGGTTCAGGCCCTCTGCTTACAGTTTCTTAGGGATCATCATCATCATAGCAATAGGCAACTATGGAGTGCATTGTTATAATTGCTTTACATATTTTAACTCATTTAAATTCTTACAACAGCCCATTTTATGGATGAGTAAAATGAGGCAGACTTCAAACCTGCATAGACTGGCTCTGAAATCTGTGTTTCTTTCTTTCTTTTTTTTTTTTTGAAATCTGTTTCTATACCACACTGGATCACTGCCTCTTCCCTAACACCAGTTCACTTTCTGCCTATTAATGTAGACTACTGCTTAGACATTTTTACCATGAGGAACCAACATATTAAGTTACATATGAAGAAACTGAGGCTGCGATATGTGAGACTTTTCCAAGGCAACATTGGTAGTGAGTGGGAGCTGGGATTTAAATCTAGCTTCATCACATCATGTCTTTAATAAAGGCCACTTTGTGAGATCTGGTTCTGATCCAACATAGTGAAAAGAATTAAAAGAATAATAAATAATAAAAGAATCTGTTTCAAACAATATCACATTATCATTATGGGATGTTTTGTTTTTAGACACTGTGATCAAGGCCAGATTAATACCTTTAGAAGCTCTAAGTTCTAAAAAAGAGAAAGGTGTCTTTCCCACACCAGCCTCTACAGATTCAAATTAAAAACAATCAATAATAATTACAATTAGAAATGGAAAAATAAACACAAATGCCAGTTTTTTTCATCGTGGCTGCTTAAATTTTTCT